TACACACATCAGCCTCAAAATACCATCAACACTACCAACAAAATGAACACTGTACTGAAAACAGTGTGTGAGGGTTTTTTTCCTTGTTCTTTGTGACCTTAAGGTCATTCTACTTGAATGACCCACTTGGGGCACGTTTTCTTTATGTGATTATGCATGTCAATTGGATACATGTTGAGGTTCATTTATTTTGAGTACACTATGTTGGAATTGTTTTTCTATTAGTTTATTTTCTTATATAATCATGTAAAATACTTTTATACTTCCCAGGTCAAATCTGCAGAACAAAGCACTTTCAGAAAAGCAATCTTTGTCTCTGTCTTTTCCAACTTACTTCCCTCTTTGCATGGGTAATTATTAAAATAGTTTTAAAAAATTTATCTCTCCAGGGAAGGCATTTGGCCACAGTTAGTGTCATATCTGAATAAACTGGTGTGTTGATATACTAACATTTTAATCACTAACTGATGAGAGTTTGACTTGTAGTTAAGATGTTTAAGATGTGGGCATCCCATACCAGAGTGCCTGAGTCTGATACCCAGCTCTGGCTCTTCAGCTAATGCAGACCCTCGGGGGCAGAGTGATGGCTCAAATAACTGCCATCCCTGTGGGAAACTTGGATTGAGTTTCTAGTTGCCAGTTTTGGCCCCACCCAGCCCCAGTTGTTGGGGGTGTTTAAGGAGTGAACAAGCAAACTGAACTCTCTTTTTCTATTTCTGTATCTCTGTCTCTGAATAAACTTTAAAACGTTTAATTTATTCTTCCATATTCCAATGCAGTTATATACATGTATTTATCCCCTCTTCCTATTATTAATGTCTTAGAAAAAATTAACTCATAAGCTGAAAATATAATAGGCAAATTCTTTAGGCAAAAAATACACACACATAGGAGTATACATATTTTCTATATTTTATATATACAGACCAGCCATTTGTTTTAACACCCAACATTGCTATCTGACAGGGAAGGCACACAGCATCACTGAAGGGGAGCTACCTAAGCATCTCGCTCATCACCCCAGTCCCAAAATCGTCCTTACAAGTCACCTGGAGAAGGAGTTCTGCAGCTATCTCTTCCAGATATGAGTGATGAAAGGCAGGAAAACTGAGACACTGCAGTTTTCACCCCTTGATTTACTGACTCTGTGCTGACTGAATTACTGAGAGCAATGATAGCTCTGTGCTTTGGACCACCACGCTCCATTCCAGCCCTGTTATCTGAACCCAAGTGCTTCCCAACGTGCTGCCAGGCCATGTCACCTGCACAGCCTTTCCCAAATGCCTCCACACATCTTCCCGACAAGGCGCACTGTCTACTCTCCTAGTTTCTCTGCTTCACCACTATTGCATTTATTTTCTTATTTTTTGAAAAAGATTTATTTATTTATTTATTTATTTATTTTGAAGGTTGGAGTTACTTACAGAGAGAGAGGAAGAGATAGAGACACACAGAGATCTTCCATTCATTGCAGATGGCTGCAATGACAGGGCTGGGCCAAGAGTTTCATCCAGGTCTTCCAAGTGGGTGGTGGGGGCCCAAACACTTGGACCATCTTCTGCTGCTTTTCAGGCCATTATGAGGGAGCTGGATCTGAAGTGGAGCAGCTGGGACACAAACCAGCCCCCATATGGGATGCCAGTATCCCAGGCGGCAGCCTTACCCACTATGCCACAATGATGGCCCCTATTGCCTTCACATTCACATCATCTCTCCTTCCCCCCAGTTTGCCTTCATTGTCATTAAAATGATTCATTGCTATGGTGCCCTGGGCCAACCCTGGCTGTTGTGGCTATTGGAAAGCAAACGAGAAAATGAAAATATATTTCTATCTGTCTCTTCATCTTTGTCACTCTGTCAAATAAATAATCTTTTAAAAAAAAGCAGACCATAGACATGAAAAAGAAATTTGTAATACATATACACAACAGAGAATTCATATCAATAATATACAAAGAACACCTACCAATCAATAAGAAAAAGAAAAACAAACAATGGGCATTCATGTTTAATATTTACTTTTCAAAGAATAGATAAATTGCCTAATAAGGATACAAAAAGATGGTGACTATATTGTTTGTCATCAAACAAATTAATATTGAAACCAAAGTGAGATAGCACTACGCCAACACCAGAATGGCTGAAATGTAAAGGACTGACATTGCTAAGTATGGTGAGGCTGTGAGGGCAAAAGAACTCTCAACTCTGCCATTGGGAGTATAAACGGCTACATCTATCTGCAGAGCTTTTTGATACTACTTATTAAAGCCTAAAAGGTTCATACTCCATGAATCTGCCATTCCACTCATAGGTTTAGTTTGAAAATAAATGCATATGAAATATATGTTCAAAATATTTAACTACAAAAAGGTTCACAGGAATATTGTTACAAAGCCTCAAACTGGAGACAATCAAAGTGCTCATTAACTGCAGAATGAATAACCAACTTCTTATGCAAAAAAATAGCATGCAGCCATAAAAAAAGATTATACTAATTATTTATACCCATCTTATAGACATAATATTGGACTAAGAAGAAATAAATACTGTACGATTCCATTTATGTCAATTTGCGGAACAAGAAAACTAACCTCTGGTGAAAGAAACCAGAAGAGTGGTTATCTGGGGCTGGCACTGTGGCCAGCAGGTTAAGCCGCCCCCTTTAGTACTGGCATCCCATATGGGCGCTGGTTTGAGTCCTGGCTGCTCCAATTCCAATCTAGTTCTCTGCTAATGTGCCTGGGAAAGCAGCAGAAGATGGCCCAAATGCTTGGACACTTGCATCCATGTGAGAAGCCTGGATGAAGCTCCTGGCTGTTGGCTTTGGCTTGGCCCAGTCCTGGCCGTTGCAGCCATTTGGAGAGTGAACCAGCAGATGTAAGACCTCTGTCTCTCTCTCTCTCCTTCTCTCCCTCCCTCTCTGTAACTCTGCTTTTCAAATAAATAAAATAAATCTTTGTTTTATATTTGGGTGAGTAGCCCCTTTGGGAAGGGGTACAAAGGAGATCACAGTGACGCCACAGTGTGTGTTTGCATCCACAGGGCTGTGTTCACTTTGAAAAACTCACTGAGCTGTAGGTTTATGATCTGTGCACTGTCATATGTTCAAGTGCACCTTACTACACTTCGATAAAAAGTTAGTAAACAGTGGCCATCTTCTTCCTAGGGGCATTCTTCCTATAAGGTGGCCTGGGCTACGCTGTGTACATTAGAGTAACACAGCTTCCAACTTTCACTGGTTTTACTGACCTGTGATTCACCCACTGGCAACATTGATCCTCCTTCTAGACTCCCTTGTGAGATGAGAGCCCAGCCTGCTATCAATGATGTAAATTGAAAGAGAAGGTGACAAATGTCCAGACTGAATGCTTAGAGAGCTTCTGGAATCACACGCCACTCAGATGACAACTACATAAAGATGCCAGTATTTTGTTCTATTCAATGTAATAATAAAGTATCCCAAATATTCATTCTTCATGGAATTTTTCATTGCTACATTTTAAAAGAAATGCATCTAACTTTTAAATCAGCTATTACAGAAATTTCTATTATCCTTTTGCTATGTGGAATGATCTAAATTTAGTATGATGAGTTATTGTAGAAAGTTACCACATCAAATGTTGCTCTATGAGGTTCTAATCAGGGTAATAATTTAACCCTACAACATTCAAGTCACCACATTTCTTTCTGGCTTTCTATTTACTATACAACACGCTCTATAAACACAATCATTGTGATATTTGAATAAATTGCTGTGCTGATATATTAAAATTGAAATCAATAACTTTTGAGAGTGTTAAAAAATCAACTTTGTTGCTTGACTAAAATGACTTTGTCACTTTTTAAAAACAAAACTGACCAGTTAATCGTATAAATTGGTGCAGGCGTAGCTTAAATGTTGCCCTCACATGCTGTCAGTTGCTGTTCAGCCAAGGGGAAAGCTCAATCTCTGGAGAGAAATGTCTTTATTGATTACCACAGCAATAGCAATTGCACTGAAACACAGGCTGGTGAATAAGACAATACATTCTGATATAACCTGGTGACAGACACCTGAAAACCCCCACGACGTTGGCCCTGTCTGCTCCCATGGCCTGGATTCCCTGTGAAGCCAGGGCACCTCTTTGGTAGGTAGCACTCCCATTCTCCATTACACAGGTGTGGTTCCTGACCCCCTTGAAAATGTGCTGGAAAAATAAGGTAATTTAGCACAGATTTCAGGACCCCAGAGTCTCCTCTTGTTTCATCGACTGCAAATTCATGCATTTGGTGAACACAGGGCCACGTCTGCTATGTTTTATATAGTTCCACACCACACTCTTGCTGCAAGAACATCAATCAACGTTCAGGAGAGGCTTGGTATTTTGTTTAATGGAATTCTACCCTTACACATGTTATATTCTTAAAATTCAAGATTGGTTCAAAACCAGACTGAGACCTCAAGAATTGGAAATTTTACTATATGAAAGACAGAGATCTAGTACATTAAAAATGTCTGAAATGTACAGTGGATTGTTTATAATTGAGCAGTCACTGGATGACACAATATGCTCATTCTTCCACTAGAGGGCACCTGAATAAATATGTTAAATTCAAGTAAAGAAGGCTTTCACAGTAAAGACACATAAAACTTTTCGAAAACATGTTTATCTGGTACAATCAGTGAACATCATCAAAACATCAAACACCTAATTACAGGTGAATATGACTGGGGCATTACGGGCACACAAGCAAGCCCAAAACTTATTTTGTATTGATTGATTGGTTTGCTGGTTGACTGATAAATTCGTTCATAAATTCAGGCATTTATGTACACACAGACCCCTACCTGATTCCCCCCACAGAATTTCAGAATGAGAAAATAATCCCAGAAATAGTGAATAATATTTTTGTTACAGCTCAGGACACTGAGCTCAAAGAAGAGAATATATTTGTCCGAGTCCACTTTGTTAATTGGTTCTAGAATCAGAACTGGACTTCAGATTCTCAAATTCACAATTCCATGCTCTACTGACTATGTGAATTTTAAGAGAGTGTGGAAATTAAAAAATAAATAAGCTGGTTCTGAGATTTAAGAAAACATCATCTGCATGGTTTGTACAAAGTAGTTTCATTTGTTTTCTGAGTTTTTCCTTTTCCAAGTTTTTATTATGATTCCTTAGTCTCTTTCTCTATGTGATATCCAATAGAATCACCATTTTTTCCTCCTTGGACATTCATGGGCTTTTGTGAGTGCTGGTGAAGGCAACCTCGGTAAGTAAGAGAAAAATGTTGCATTTGTACCCTGCAGGTATTTCTAAATGCTAAAAGGAGTTTGGCAAAACATGTGGACTTTAAATAATCATGCCATGTTCAATGAGAGCAACCCTCAACCTGTAAAAAGTCTAATGCTAATTGGTTGCCTTAAAATTGTTTTGCTGCGGGCCCACGCCGCGGCTCACTTGGCTAATCCTTCGCCTGTGGCGCTGGCACTCCGGGTTCTAGTCCCGGTTGGGCGCCAGATTCTGTCCCGGTTGCCCCTCTTCCAGTCCGGCTCTCTGCTGTGACCTGGGAGTGCAGTAGATGATGGCCCAAGTGCTTGGGCCCTGCACCCGCATGGGAGACCAGGAAGAAGCACCTGGCTCCTTGCTTCGGATTGGCGCAACACACCAGCTGCAGTGGCCACTTGGGGGGTGAACCAAAAGAAAAGGGAAGACTGTTCTCTCTGTGTCTCTCTCACTGTCTAACTCTGCCTGTCAAAAAAAAAATTGTTTTGCTGCAGAAATAAAATTTAAAATACTTTCTGTTCTCCGGAAGCTGTAAATACACATACATTTTCATTTTTGATCTAGAAGGGAATCACTAATGCTTCCCTTTTCCACATTTCCATGCAGGATTGTGACTTGGACTGAGTTCTTATTTAAACAAAGATATTGAGGGTCTTGTCTCACATGAATGGACAGTGCCCAAAAGTATTGCCTGAGGCCCACATGCTCTTTGAGTTAAGAGGCAGGAAATAGTGGTGTTTTCTTTACTTTTAATTGTCGCTTTTTCTTCCAAACACTCACACCTTGAGCCTCAAGTTGTTTTAAATGTGCGATTGCTTGTGGTTATTCCTGAATGATAGACTGAAGTTGGGTAATTGCATCTGTCTTCATGATCAATGGCTATTGTTCTGCACTCGATTCCCTGAGAGCCACCGGACTGTGTCAGATAGGAGCCTAAGAGGAGTGGATCAGTCATGCTCTGGTTCACTTGGTCCTAAATCTACTGGATATGCTCTTTGCTTCCTCGGTCTGAGGTCCTCATGGCAATTACCAGTTCTCTGGCCACAGCTGAGAGTCAGTACTTCCTGGATGGATAGCTGTATGCATATATGGGTGAGCAAAACGTCACTTCTATTCCTCTAGGACTACAACTACTGGAAAATACACTGGATTCTAAATGAGATTGCTTATGCGAATGTGTGTGTGGTAAACACAGAATTCAGAAATTAAAAACCCATTGTTTTCTTCCTCTGTAGTTAGTGCTTCCATAGGCGATTCTTGAACAGAGAGTGAAGGTCTTACTAGTCCAGTAAGCTGGTTCTTGCCTCTGCCCCTCTCAACCCTGTGCCTGCTTCTGTCGGAATTCTTGTCACGCTGTAGTAGTAGCAGGAGCAGTGATTTCCTTCCTGTGCCTTCCTCAACGTTGTGGACGCCACTACAGCAGGCAGTATACTTTAATTTTTATACAACTTCATTATTTAGCACAACGCTTGGCATGTAAGGATAACTCAGTGTTACATGAATGACTGAATGAAAACATACATGACCATGTGAAGACTAAATGTGTGTAAAACTCAGACGCAGAAAATAGGTTGAATAATAATGCAAACATTTGGCAAGAATCTTTGGCCCAGTCCAAACAGACGTTCAGCCTCCTTATTGGAGTTAAAACTAGTAGAGAGACTATTCTCCTGAGTACGACACTTAAATCATTTAGAACAGAACTCCTAAAAAAAGCACGTGTAAAACAAAGAAGCCCATCTGGTATTAAAATATAAGTATGTATTTGGGGAAAACAAACACAACACGACACAACGCAAACCACACCTATCATTTTTATTACACAATCTACAGAAAATAAAGATTTATAAAGTCTTATTGGCCAGAAGGTCTGTAAAAAAAAAAAAAAAAAAAGATTGATTTTCCCAAGTAGAGTAAAGACCCCAGGAGGGACATGAGATTTTTATGTTTATTTAAAATGAGCTTAGGTTTTTAAAGGCTGGGAAACAATAACTTGGCAAAAATTATACTTCTGCTCCTGAGGTCCCTGCTCACTCTGGAAAGTTGCAGAGTCAACAAAACCTGAGGGCTCTAGGAAGAGGGGGGGCAGCGTTCTATTATTCACTTCAGATTTGAGGGGCCTGGGGAGATAGTCATAAAGCTTAACCACGTATCTTTAGCTTTCACAGGAGAGACTGTTCTTTAACTCCCCCAGTCCTGGGCACAGGGCAGAGGTCAATGCCTCCTATTCAACTGGACCTCTATACACACAGCTATTTGTCCCTTTCCTCTGGTCTCCCCAAAGCACAAACCCTGGCACACCTACTCCAGGCACCTTTCTCCTCTCAGCCTGCTGTTTAGCAACCACATCCAAGCCACTCAGTATTCTATTTCCCCTCCAACCCTAATTAATATAGATTTTTCAAACCATTCCTAGGATTCAGTTTAAAATATTTCAGGGAGCAGGCATGTAAGTCTGGCAATTTGATGGCAATTTGATTTTCAGTTCTGGCTAAAGGCTGTAGCTTCCCACCAGTGCACACTCTGGGAGGCAGCAGCCATGGCTCAAGCAATTGAGTCCCTGCCTCTCACGTGCGAGACCTGGATTGCATTCCCCTGCTCCCGGCTCTACCTCCAGCCCAATACCAACCATTGTGTGCATTTGGGGAAGAGAACCAAGATGGAAATATTCTGTGTGTGTGTGTCTACCTAAAAAATAAAAAAGCAAAATACTCCAGCAACAACAAACAAAACAAAAACAGGAAGTGTGTGTCTCTGTGTATACTCATAAAATAGGACTGGCAAAATTTGTAAATTGTTAAGGGGGATAACAGATACTTGAGAGCGCTATTTTACTAATTTCTTGACTGTTGTGAATATTTGAAAACTTCTACAAAAAAATGTAAAACGATTTTTAAATCTATTTTTAAAAAGAGCACATGGGAGAGAGATGACAATAGTGTGGAACTCTGCTGAGGCATGCAATAAATGAGCACGTTTTTCCATTCCCCAAGTGGTTGGTGGTCACTGGAAATGTCGGTGAGAGCTATTCTGAGGTTAGATGGAAGTAGTGGGGAATTTAGGAGTCAGGATTCCCCATTCCCACTCCCAATGGGAGAGACTTAAACTTAAACTTACATCTGACAAAATGAGACATTGAATATATAAAAGAAAGAAAAACTAACCAGTACCATAGGGTTCCCAAGAAAGCAGGAGAGGTTGGGATCCAATGCTCAGAGGGAGGGATTGGCCTGGGATAGAAGAGGCAGCTTCTCCATTGGAAAGAAAAGGATAGATGTATGCAGATGTAGATGGGCAATATGCTTGGATCAAAGAGAAGAAAAGATTTACTATCTGATGGCTTCTGTTTTCCAAGGAAAATCAGAGAATTTAGAGTAGGAGATGTGGAATAAAAATCAGGTAAGGTTTCAGGGCTGCGTTGATCACAATTTACAGCTGCATCCATCCTTCCTGTGTTGTGCTATCCCAGGAGCACTTGGCTGTATGGGTGTTGGCCCAGAAAAAGAAAGGGTGTCAGTGCATTTCAGGTTGAGCTTTTCCCTAACAAAGTACAGAAAAAAAATACAAGCATTTAGGATGTAGACGTATTATGAAACTAAATTACCACGCAGCAAAAGGCAGTAAGAAAGGAAAAAGACTGGGAGATCTCAAGAAAGCAGAAGGGTAATGGATCAGGAGTCACAGGAGACCAGCGTGTCACTCGGCAAGTCTGGAGGGGAGGCAGCTGTGGTCACAGAGGGGACACTCTCTTGGGAACCTGCAGGTGGGCATTCCTGAGTAATGTGTTGACAGACATGAGTACGAGTCGGAGTCGGTAGCAATGCGGAATGGAGGAACCAAATGGATGACTGGATTGGAAATTACTTCTTTCTCAGCATTAACGGCAGCTCACTCACGAGGCAGAAGACTTTCCTAACTGTCCTTGCCCCTCTGGTCTTAGTTCCCCCAAATTCTGCTGCACTAATGCAGGGCGTTCCAAGGGAAAGAAAACCATCTGTTAGAACTTTCCTAGGAAACGATGCACACAGAGAAAATACTGGTGTCACATTGACACTTCAAAATCCCTTCGCCTAGATGGCTCACGCACCATTTTTCATGCTCACAACACTCTCATAGGAATGCAAAAAAGGGAACAGTTATTAAGAATTATGGGACAGAAAGTCTATATTTTATGAAAATGTGGTTCTCAGAAGTTAATTGACTTCCATTTGTCTTTTCAAGCCCAGCAAAAGGCAGCCGAGAGACTTCTTGGGCAGAGATGCCTACAAGGCAGGGGCTCAGGGAGCCTGGAGCCTGGTCCTGCTGCAGAATCGTCCTTCCAGCTGGCAGGCGGGCTCAGAACAGCCACTCCCACAGGAGGACTTCTCTAGCCCAGAGTCAGGAGCTGACTCTACCACTGTGTTGCCAATGAGTTCTGGGGTCAAGCAGTTATTTAGTGTGGCTCCATTCTTCCTCTTGAGCAAGTGCACCAGTCGCTGGGCGGGTAGAGGCCTAGGTCTAATTATATCAAGAGGGAGCAGGACGCTTGGCCAGATCATGCCAATGTGCTCCTACTTCCACCTCTCCTGTGCTCCATCTCCCATCCGCTGTTGGCATCCGCTTACTTCTCCGCTTTCTGCCCAACTCGGGTTTGTTTATGTTACCCACGGTATCTTCCTAAGGCTCAGTTGGCAGCGAGGCACCAAGCAGATTGAAAAAACCCTCTGCAGAGATCTGCCATAATTCCTTTTCAACATGTAGATTACAGAACCATAGGCTAAGCCAACCTAGCAATAGAAAACAGAGCAAATAAAAACAGAAATCTTTCCCTTTCACTTATAAGGACAAATGAATAATAAACAGAAACAAAATTTTACAAAATTGACACATTTAATACTACAATATTGTTATTGCAAGCACAAAGGATTCTTCAATGATTGCTGCCTTTGGCTAAATATAAATTACAATGGGGCCTTCAACATCCAGGGAGAGGAATAATTTTCCCAT